GTTGACATGTCATGAGGTTGTTAACCATTGTCATAGAACAGTATGTGTACTAACTGTTTAATGAGAAACTATTTGTTCCGTAAACCTTTATCTAAAGTACAGTTAAAAAAAACACTGACCTAAAAAAGAAAATGATAGCAGGAAGAGAGGGATTCACAGATGAATTTGATCTTACTTTAAATAAACAAGATAAATCCAATGTTAATTTAAACATTTCCAAACACTGATAAAGTTAGAAACCTCCCAAAATCCTTTAAAGAAGCCAGCGTATCATTAATGCCAAACTCTGATAAAGATACATAGTACAAAAAAGAAAATTTCACTTTTGACAATAGATGAAAAATTCTAACTAAAATATTAGTAAATTAAATTCAGAAATGAAACTAGAATAAGCAACAAAGTAGGGTTTATTCCAGGAATGCAAGGATGGTTCAATATCTGAAAAGCTGTCAACAAATTATACAAATAAAATCCAAAAAACCATCTAACTATATAGCTAAAAGATGGTGAAAAGACATTTGATCGAATTTAGGGGTTACCCGTAAGTAAACATCTAAATAAATAGAACGAAAAGAAAAAGCTAAGTAAAATTTAAAATTCTTAGTAAAAGAGGGTAAAAATAGGAAAAAATACTATATGACAGTGAAAATGAATGAACTAAATTTGCATATATCAACAAAGATAAATCTCAAACGTTATCTCAAGCAAATTGCAGAACAATGTGTATGGTATAATACGTTTATATAAAGAGTAAATGCGTGCAATGAACAACAAGATATTTGAATATATCTATAGTAAAGATGTAAAATTATACATGTGGATGATTTAAAAAATAGTAGTTTGTGGGGACCTATAAAAAGACTATATTGTTGTTGTTGTTAGGTACTGCCGAATCGGTTCTGACTCATAGTGACCCTGTGCATGACAGAATGAAACACTGCCCAGTCCTGCGCCATCATCACAGTCGTTGCTATGCTTGAGCCCATTGTTGCAGCCACTGTGTCAGCCTATTTCGTTGAAGGTCTTCCTCTTCTTCAGTGACCCTCTACTTTATCAAGCATGATGTCCTTCTCCAGGGACTGATCCTTCCTGATAAAATGTCCAAAGTATGTGAGATGTAGTCTTGCCATCCTTGCTTCTAAGGAGCGTTCTGGCTGTACTTCTTCCAAAACGGATTTGTTTGTTCTTTTGGCAGTCCATGGTATATTCGGTATTCTTCGCCAACACCACAATTCAAAGGTGTCAATTCTTTGGTCTTCCTTATTCATTGTCCAGCTTTCGCACGCAGATAAGGCAATTGAAAACATCATGGCTTGGGTCAGGCGCACCTTAGTCAAGGGGCCGTCTTTGCTTTCCAACACTTTAAAGAGGTCTTTTGCAGCCAATTTGCCCAATGCAGTGCATCTTTTGATTTCTTGACTGCTGCTTCCACGGGTATTGATTGCAGATTCAAAAAGACTATAAGATCTATAAAAAGGGTTGCTGTGAGTCGGAATTGACTGAACAACAATGGGTGAATAAAAAGACTAAGGTGTGCCTGACCCAAGCCTTGGTGTTTTCAGTTGCCTCATATGCATGTGAAAACTGGACAATGAATGGAGAAGACAGAAGAAGAATTGATGCCTTTGAATTGTGGTGTTGGAGAAGAATATTGAATATA